TTACGTTTTTTATCATGTGAGAGGTCAGGGTATTAAGTAATAATATCTTGGGTAGTTGGGTATTAGTGGATTGATCCACTAATACCCAACTACCCAAGATATTATTATTACTAATAAACTTAGCATCTATAATTATTGAATCAATATTAATCATACTATCTAACTCGCATTCTCATTTGAACATAATAAAATAATGAATTTATAAACGAACCCATATCATTCAATTAAACAAGAAATGCCAGATTCACAGCCATATATCAATTTGAACAATTTAAATCTAAATCATGATAAGCTATGTTATGAGGCGGGAAAAGCTCTAGTTGAAGCTCTATGCACAAACCTTAATTTAAAATACTTGGATTTAAGTTCAAAAAAACTATGTAATGGGGCAGGGCGAGGAATAGCTGAGATATTATGCAATATTAATGCAATAACAAATTTAAATTTAGAAAACAATTATCTGGGTGACGAAGCAGTTATAGCATTAGTCAAAGCTCTGTATAAAAATACCACCTTAACGAATTTAGACTTAAAGTTTGATGAAATAGGTGATTCAGGAGGAAAAGCACTAGCTAAATCTTTATGTAAAAATACCACCTTAACTAATTTAGATTTACAATGGAATAATTTTGGTGAATCGGCAGAAAAAGCGTTAAATGAAGTAAAAATAATTAAATGTGACCGTTTAGTTTTACACATATGATATATTACACACAAAACTATATTAAAAAATAATAAAATTATTAGAGCATCTACTGTATTTTGTATCGGTGAATTTGTAATAGCCTACGTTCCTTTACAAAAAAATTCATAACTGACGTCAAATTATAGAAAAACTACGTATTTGCTTATGATAAAGGATAAACTTGTACGTACGTACGTACTTAACATAAATAGAGAATTCTATTTCGAAAATACCCAAACCATGGGTGCTCTCAAGCGTCATTCTCGATGTGATTAGCAAGTGATCGCAATCGCAATGGTACTCAAGCAAAATTATATTTACATAAAATTTTTATTGAGAATTCGAATATGCAATTTATGACGTAATTGAAATTTTCTCAAGCATCATCTTCGATGTGATTAATTAGTGATCGTAATGGTGCTCATTTATTAGGATCAATTGAAATAAACACTGCAGTCAATATTTGAGCGGCTCTTTTATTATTTGTCAAAAATGAAAAACAAAAACGCCGTTAAACAAGAAGCAAGTGCTGCAGATTATCGAAAATATTCTGGGAAGCATCAACTTCAACAGTCCGTTTACTGACTTTACCAATTATTGTTAATAAAAATGTTTAGTGCAAGTAAAATAATAATTTGTTGCTAAATGTGATGATCATATAAAAAAAAGGTGGTTTGTTGTAAAAAGTTTGTTGATTTAAATGACACATTCATTTCAATATTTTTATTAATAAAAATGTCATATTTACGTAATAAGCTTTATCAAATTATGCATATTCATCTTAATTATAAACACGCTTGACTAATTTAAAATATTTTCCGCTAAATAAATTTTATTTCCCGACACTTTTTGACCCATTGATTAAGACGCTTGAGAACGTCCTATTATTAGTCATTTTCAAATGACAGTTAATTAAAAATTGATGTACGTGAGTTTAAAATTTATACTGATTAAAATGTAATGTACGTCAATTTATTGAATAAAAAAAAAAGGTTCTTTATAACATGTCATCGAATATATAATTAGTTTCCACTTTTTTCACTTCATACCTTTGAAAAAAACTTATTATGCAATGCGCACATGCTCAAATATCAAATAAATATGACCAACACAAAGATTAAAATGCTCAGTAGCTTTTGATTCAGCCATTTGAATTCCTACTAATTTGAAATCGTTATTATAACCTATAGGTCCACATTTGATTTCTGTTGTTTTTTGATTTGTTTCACCATTTCCAAAAATTTGAGTCGTTTGACCATCTGACATAACGAATTGAATGCCACTAATAACACGTTCACGAAAATGAACATTCACACCAACTATATAATTATACTTCTCATCAAGACCTCGAATAGTATACGCATTTCCACCCTGTTCATTTCCGGTAGGGGTTCCGATTTGATTTTTATATTTAACCTTTAGGCAATCTAAGAAAAAACCACAATGGACGTTTATACCAGTAATGATATCAGTCTTATCACTACTCATTGGATGTAATTCATTATGATCTTCTGGACCATGTTGACCGTTTGGAAAGGTATCTTTTCCATAAATTCCAAGAAATTAAACAAAATCTTGTCGAATATCGAGATGCACCGAATAATAAACAATCAAACTATCTGACAAATTTAATCAATCAATGCGAAATTTTTTATGATAGTTTGACTACTGCTACTGGGAAGAATAAGGACAACGTAAATTTAGTTACTATCGCTATCACATATTCATTAATGCATCTTGCTATTTTGAAAGAGGCATGCACTAGCCATAAGGTACTTAAATTTCTTATTGTTAAAACTCTTTTAAATGAACCGTAATGACGGTAATGACGGTAATGATTTATATCTTTTTTTTAGGGACTATTTAATTCTTATGATAAGGAATTACGAGAAAAAGTCGAAGGTTATAAAAAATATTTTATAGAAATCTATTCTAAATGGGGAAATTGGCGCAAAGATTGTATCCAAGTAAAGAAGAATAAGGATGTTCCTTACGAAGCTTATGATAACTTAATTGATCAAGCGGTTACTTATGTAAACACAGAAA